GAGGAAAGATTTAGCGGGTGGAGTCCCAGGGGTCAGAGTCATGTTAGATGGATGATGTCGTTCTCGGGGTCTGGGGCAGGGGAAGGCGTTTATCAGAGACCTTATACCCCTCAGAACAGACAACAGCCTGCCCAGGGACAGGTGAGGGGGAATTCGATCTACCCCCTGGCTTATGCGAACCATACCTTAACGCTGGGGTCTGGTTTAGCTGAGATTACCGAATGTGCGAACCCTGATCCTATGTCAAATCTTTTCCCTCATATTAACGGGTAGAGTCAAAGACGGCACTCGATGCTGGCAAACTGGCTGGCTTTGCGCGGTGTGTTATTATGAAATACGTGTTATTTAAATGATATTAGACTCGAGCACAAGGTGAAATAGGCATACGCACCTCTTCTACCTGGTAAACTTGCATTTAACCCTGGCTGATAACATCGGTGACAATTAAGCACCAACCATGGTTCTTGCACCTGTGAAGACCGGCCGGAAAATTGCTCAGTTTTGAAGTTGGTTGAAGGCTTAGATTGGGCAAATAATGATATGTTTCAACATCTACACCTTGAAATTCGACCTCCGACTAATTTTTACCCGTCGAAGCGGTGCAAAAAATACGAGCGTCATTAGACAGTGGTAGACCGTAAATCTTCAGGCTTGAAAGCCAGCCTACACGCAAGGCCAGTATACGATCCTTGTGAACGGACAGGGTTTCAAAAGCCACCCTTGCCTAACCCTACTTTCCACGGATGGGGCTGCGCGGAGTCGAGGCTATTAATCTTAGTTTATTACGCTTCTCGTTGACGACTTTCGACGAGCCAGCAGCGTGGTTGGGAGCGAGCCGAACCAATGATTCCGCAATTAAAGTTTAATTTTCAGATGATTACAGTAAATAATTGGACGACGCATATCTGCGGGTATTAGACGTATAGTGTTACATCAGTGATTCCTTTAAAAATCGCGATAGTTCTACCGTTTCTTTTTATGTTTCCTGCTCAATTTTGTTTTCAATACGGGTAGGCTGAAGCACCGAAACAACCCCTGGTAATTTCCTATTGATCCTGACCGAGTAAATAGATCGACGGCTTTATTTTCTTGATGGTGAACATTAGCAAAATTTGAACGACGTGATTCCGCGAACTGCATAAAACAGGGGTCAAGTCTTCCAATAGGGGTGTTGTAGTTATCACGTGACCAGATACTTGATTGTAATAGGAGAGTGACTATTAAAGCATCATCATTGATGGTCTGATACAGGGTGATCAGATCTGCGTGCTGCTTTTGTGAGACACGCACGTGAATCGCTGTAGAAGTCATTATAGCAGAACAGGTTACATCACGGCTTACGATGTCGCATCTCTGTACTTGAACACGGGGACGAGGTTCCTCCAAGTTGAGTCATGTATTGTTAACATGCTTAAAGGGAATAAATCTACCGTCGGCTAGTTCACCAACTGCGTAGACAAAACGGGGGAAAACTAATTTCAGACTATTACATCTTCAGATGAATTGTAATAAATCGCAGGCAAAGGAAAATATACATACACCTATGTTCAATAGTTGCTAAAGGGAAACAAACGTGAAATGGTGATAGAATTGATAGGGGTATGATATTTGTGTTTATTGTCATACGCTTGCAGTGTTTTGGCGATTGTGTTCTGCCTGGTAACATTTTAACAACTTAAAATGTATTTTTGTTCAAATTCAAGAGTTTTCTTTTTCTCGGTGGTGTCTCTATAATTTTTGTGAGAAAAACGCCTTCAGAGAATAGTTCGTTGTTGGTACGTGACAACATAAGAGTGAATGAGTGAGTGTGATATTTCAGCTATATCTTGGATGGTCACAAGAAAAATGGGCTCAAAGCTCCCCTTGTGAGTTACTCAACCACCCCCGAGGCTTTAACCAGTAAACAAACAAACAAACAAACACACACACACTCACTCACTCACTCACTCACTCACTCACTCACTCACTCACTCACACTCACACACACACACACACACACACACTCACTTCACTCCTCCAACTCCGAACCTTGAACTGTTTTATGTTAATATATTTTTTCATGTAATTATACTTCCAAAAATCTAATTAAAACCTCTCGGGACATAAATTACGTTGATTTTCAGGAATATGATTTGCTTCTGAACAATCTTTAAGCGTTAATCCAGCTAACAAAAACTCGACAGCTGAAAACTTGATGTAAGTAGATCTAGCTAACGGAGTTTTTCTCTTTTCCCATGATGCTTCAGTGGTGGCATGGTTTGCGATTATTGGGTTTTCCGGCACTGGAAGCTGATGGTATAAATCTCTCTGGCAGTTCTTGCCGAAATAGCATCGTACCCCATAAGCCGCATAGTCATAGGGTCGCATTTGGGAAGTCCCTGCAAACAAACCGATAATGGATGTATTATCCGGAGAATATAGAATTTTATCAGCAATCTTATATCAATTTGAGGGTCGCGTCTTTGTCGAGTGTAAAAATCAATATCAAAGTGTAAATTGCTGTGCCTACTTGTGCCATCGTCCCTCCCGGACCGTCCAACGTGGCTGCCCTGATGGGGCCACGTCTCCATGACGACTTCGCCGACCGTTCTCCTTTGGAAGCTGTTGATGTTGGTGTGTAATCGTACTTTTATCACTCTCATTCGTTATCCTTTTATTATGATATGACAAAGACCATTATGATTTCACCGGTCCGACATGGCTGTAACGCGCGCGGCTGCCCTTTCCATTGCCATAAATTGACTACAACTGAATTAAAATCAGAACTTGCCGCCCATGGCTCGCTTATCACTACATCGCTGACGAGGATCAATCTAAAATGCGGAATTTGTTCCGTCAACACGGAAACGAACAAGGATGCTTCAAACGCCAAAGATGTAATGACCGAAAGATGTGCCGATTACAGGCAGAATAGATCGATTTCAAACCTCATTTGCTGTCAGTTGTCGGCGAACTTCCCAGTGTGTTTCTGTATGAACTTCCCTAACTTCACGTCCCGAGACACAAACGTACAGTTCAGAAAGAAATGCTCGGACGTACGATGTCACAGCGTGTCAGAACCACCGATATTCAATATTACTACTAATTTTGAACCACTTCTGCAATGCTTTTAAATGTAGACTTAACAGATTACATAAAATCATTTTGAATAAAAACACACGACAAACGTCTCAATACAGCTACATTCAATCAAATGGCATTCATATTTCCTCTGATAAACAAGTTGTTACATTATTTTAAATTAACTGTGGTCCTCATGAAGCACATATTGTCTAAACGTGATACGTTAAAATAATTATATACACTGTTTTAGATTTCATTTCTAATTTTCTGTGGGATAAGTCCATACTTTTATCCGTTGCCTACCCAAAGTCACATTAATATATCGATGAAGATAGTTAAGTATAGAAAGAAACTGTATCTCTTTGTAACATATATTTTAGAAGAACAAGATAAAAGCATTACCATATTGTGAACACATATATGAGATCATTTCGACGTGTTAGCGTTCGGCTTGAAACAAACCATTTAGAAGTGGCTATAATTCACACGTTGTTACGTCCGGCAGCAACATCGCACATCATACGTTTCGGTAGGATAAATCTACCGAGAGTTGTATATGTATTTTAAATCGTTCCATGGTTTTGAAATACATTTCTCAGAGCGGCGACAGGCGGTAAATAAAGCTCTGATATAATGTATCTCTAAAACATCATATATCACAGCAGGTTGTAATATCCATTATGTATCGCAGTATGGACTTTTACCCACACTTGTCTGCGAGATGATCTTTGATTACTTGATTAAGATCTGTTAAGTGCATTGAGAAATATGTATCACCCATTCTGGGAAGTTTTACCCTGCGGGGCGGTAGATCTCGGCGTCAACGTGCCAGATGATTTAGTCTATCTAACACATTGTTTATCTGGGAAGAGGGTGGAACGAAATCATGTTGGGCTGGGGAGATCTGTATTAACCCCCTCCGCTATGTAGGGGTGTGCCTCGTGGCAAGATACTTGGAATTATTTATTGGGTTTTTGATATCGTAATATGAACTTGATTTTCAATCTCGGGGTGATTATTTTCGGGCTCTCTTTTCGCAGTAAACACCGAGTGCAACATTTTGATTGATAGATGGTTGTGGATATATGCTGTTAGGATTTTTCTGGAGATTTGAATGATTTTTTGTTGCAAACTGATTTATCTGTTTGACAGGGAAAAGATATTTAAGTATGATTCAGAGAATAATTTGACAATACGAACTTGGAAAAGGTGAAAAATGCAAGAAAATTACAGTGATATTATCTCCTTGAACGACATTTCAGAATCGATGGTACATTATTATAGAAACTACTACCGCATATTTAACACTAGATACAAACCAGAATTGTAAATGGTATTTATTAATACCATTCAATAACAAAAACCAATATTTTATGAAATTTCTGGAATAAATACATTTCAAAGATAATTTGTAGCTTTCAGGGTTTTGGTTTAAGATAAAAAAAATAAATCAATGCAGAGAAATTAATCAATAGATGGCGTGTCATCGTTGATATTCAGTGGCTGATGTGGAACCGACAACCTATGGTACATTACACCTCTACAAACCTATTGTATAGGACATGAATGTTACACATTCTAAAACCAGCAACTTGTGTTTGACAAATGAACGGTTTGTCGGAACGATTACGCCTCTGCATTTTGTAAAATAAAGTCTTCCGGCAGAAAATATGTTCACTAGGTATTTTAATAGCGTTATCACATAGTATAAACCCTTTATGAAATACGCGTCTATTTTAACAGGTTCAACTCATTGCATGTGTTGCCCTCTCCACGTAGATTCGGCATGGGGCATGATATAGGACTTTAATTAATATTATTGTTTTTATCATTATTGGTTACATTTGGTTTTATTTTATTCCTTAGCAATTTGTAATCAGTCCTAGTGGGTGAATATGTATAACATTATCTTATTGTAAATGTGTTGTCTGTTCCAGACGCATGTTCCCGACGTTGCGGGTGTCGTTCACTGGTCTAGAGCTGGAGACGAAGTACATGGTGTTGATGGACATCGTCCCAGTGGACAACAAGCGCTATCGATACGCCTATCACCGGTCATCTTGGCTAGTGGCGGGGAAGGCTGACCCCCCTCTCCCCACCAGGTTTTACGTCCATCCTGACTCCCCGTTCACTGGCGACCAGCTGCAGAAGCAGACGGTCTCGTTTGAAAAGCTGAAACTCACAAATAACATGCTGGATAAGAACGGGCATGTAGGTGTAAGCGTGAATTAAACCTAATCTATTTGTGATTGTGATTTCACTTACAACATGCAGTCGTGTTGTTTAATCTATTAACAGAAAATAATAGTAATGACTTTTGTTTATTATTTTTTTTCGTTTTTCTTACTTTGCTAACAACAATGTAACAATGATTTTCATTTTTTTTATTTTCTTTATTGAACACAGCATAAACTATAGCAACACGTGACAGTTTCTTTATAAGAACAGTTCACATTTCCCGGAGATCAAACCAATATATAGAAATGCTGTTTTCTACTAAACATTTGCTCATATAAATTATATTACTTTTGGTTGGGTAATGTTATGTTTCAAGGCTACGACGTTTCATTGAACAAAACTGGGTAGCTTTAAAAACTGAAATACTTATTTGTCACACACACACACACACACACACACACACACACACACATTTTATCTGTTGCAATTAATGAAGATATATACTGCGTAAAAAGGATTCTATTAGGATAAGAATATTTTAACGCATTGATTTTTTAGTTTAGTGATTAATTTTGATATGTGTTTATTTAATTTTCAATATTCAATTATTAACTATTCCCACATGGACAGAATCATTTAATAAGGTAATAAGCCAATGATCGAATATAATCAAATATTTTCAAAATATATTTTCAGATTATCTTAAACTCGATGCACAAGTATCAGCCCCGTATCCATATAGTGAAGAAGCGGGATGCCACACCCAATCAGCCTTCCCTCACAAGTCTCGACGCCGAGGAGTTCAGGACTTTTGTGTTTCCTGAGTGCGTTTTTATTGCAGTCACGGCCTATCAGAACCAGCTGGTGAGTTGTCCTTACGTTGCCTAGTAACGAAACATAATGGTAAAATTGTAAATATATCAATTTTTATTGATTTACCCATTACATTGAAAATTGTGGATAGAAAAATATAAGATAATTGATATCGTGCACATCCTTTCTAAAATACAACGAAACCTTGTTAAACCGGACAGTACTATTCCAGAAATATTCCAGATGGAGAAATTGTAACGATTAGAGTGGGCGTAGGAATGATTAGCTTTGTATTCACAGACGTTCGATCAATATTCGTCCGAAAGGCAGGGTGTCCGGACAGTCAAGGTTTCACTGTATATTGAGAATTATTAAGCAAATATATCACCATTTTATAACTGATTCCTGGGGGAGATTGTTATTTCAAATTAGAGTGAATCATATCTGAATAAAGAATGTATTTGTTACCGATGTCAATTTGATAACATATAATATATTACCTTGACTTTTTATACGTTTCAGATCACAAAACTGAAGATCGACAGTAACCCATTTGCCAAAGGATTTCGAGACTCGACTCGGCTGACAGAATTTGAAAGGTAAACTCGTTGTGTATTGTATCTAACACAAACTCACATTTATATATAATACGTTCATACACTGCTAGAAGCTTGCAGTCGTTTATATTCCTCTTTCAGAGATCAACATTATTTTTACTGAGACCGGAGTAACTGTATATCCCATCCTTGTGTCACTGTCCGCCCTACTCGTGGAAGAACGCCGTACCTATACTATACGCAGTAACTGATTTAGTTGTATTGTCCAACAATTACCACCGACTCTCGGCATCACGATTTGTGTCCATAACTCCTATTCATGTGAAATAACATACCGCACACATTTGCACATTTTGACAGGAGGGGTGTTTAGTTAAAACCGATCCTATATTTTTTCACGCAAAATGTTATTATGCAAAATATTGGCGAAATGGCGAAATGGTGAAATTGTGATAAACACACGAATCCGGCGTCGCTTGGCAATTGTGTCGGATGTGATTTGACATTGACGGGAGGTGATAATCTACAGACAGCTTGTCTGCTTTTAAACAAGACACGATAAGTGACGGTAATAAGAGTCATCTGGTCTTTATCTATATACTTACTATTAGGAATTACAGCATGGAGCCGTTCTGTAACTAACGCCAAGATACAGGATGAGCGATATGAGAAGCGATAAGGGCGGACGCCACATTGGAAATGCAAATAGTGAGATGAAGACGGTGTTTGAAAGTGAATGTGAAAGTGGGGGATTTGCGATCTTTCTTCCGAATTGTTATTTTCTTGTCAAGATTATGTTCACTGGCGACATGCTTGTAATTTATTTCTCTTCACAAATACACACCGCGGACAATTGGGAATATTTTATATAAAAAAACTATATATGAAATGGATGTCCGTGATGTTTGTAGAAGGAACGCTAGTCCGGAAAATGGAACTGCTTGATGTTTATATTGCTTCGAATTTTGATATATAATTTATGAGACCAGCTTTGACAGAAGACTTATTGTAACATACTGAAAAAAGCTTCACGAGAATACGTTTCGACTGAAGTGAGAACATATGTTTGTATCAGCGCTATTACTATGGGCAAGCTGTCTTGCTTGTGGAGTCCTGGAGACAGCTGTTCTACCATATATTTATGAATCGGTAATAACAGATCTATAAAAGCCTCATTTTGAAATATTAGGATATCTTTTTTATATATGCTTGTCCTTTTCTCTCCAGTCTAGTTCATGCAATAATAATTGTATGTATTCTTCTACACATACTTTGACGATTAATGACGCTAATTTGTGGTTGCACGAATCTGCTTTTTTGATGTGTATTGAGTTAAAATTTAATGTGGCATTGGTAATCTTTCAGGCGTAGTGTGACTGCAATCTGGATTTATATATTACAACACAACTTAAGATGCAAATTGAACTAAAACAATATTTTTTTTACATTCCGAAAAACCTGTGGTAGTCAGTTTCAGAACTGTAATATATTCACGGTCGTTTAGAAATAAGACATAAGGGAATTGATTAAAGGAAATGCGCAATCTGTACACAAAAGTATAATTTGTATATTTCTAGAGGACTGTTTGATCTGGGAGTTTTTAAATAACAAGATAATTCTGTCTAGTGAGTGGGTGGCTAAAAGTGAGTGGATTTTAGCAATATCCCAGTAATATCTCGGCCGGGAGGCACCAGAAATGGTCTTTACGCATTGTACCCGAATGGGGAATAGAACCCGGTCTTCGGCGTGACGAGCGAACGCCTTAACCACTAGGCTACCCCAGCGCCCTAATTTCATTTGATAGAGATCGTAACAGGACTGTCTGACTGAACGGTAAACCCTGTTGGAGTGAGTGAGTCAGTTCGGCTCTCACCGTTTTCAGCAATATTCTTTCAAAAACACACAAATTGTGTGTTTGGAATCGAACTCGGGACCGCTGCAAACACACCACTATAGTCATTTCCACGGAAACGCTCTGTCATGGGCATATTGTATATATCTGTTCCTTCTTCCAGTCCTATTTTCCGAGAGAGCATGGAAAGCCTCCTCCACAACCACACTTACGCCCGCTCCCCCATCCGTTCATACACCGACGCCGAGCTCGAGGAGGTGATGCTCAAACAGCGGGAATACCTCCTAGCCAAGGGTAAGTCTCTAAACCTTCATACTTACTCCCCCGCCCAGCTCTGTCGATGATAAGGTCCTAAATGAACCAAGATTTTCTTCAAGTTCAATCTCCCATCTAAATGGTTATCCTTTTCAATTGAAATGGAATTAATTGATTCTATCAAAATTATATATTTTCACAGATTAAGCGTAAGTCTGTTGCACCACTGGGTTGCATTTATATCGTCATTGAATATATACACCTGATAAAAGCCTAGAACAGCTTCTTCTCCATTGTCGCATATCTAAACTCCCTTAACACACAAAAAAACAGTGTGGGGTATTCTGTGAGAACACAAGTACTGTTTCACACCAGGTAATATAAGCGCCTAGAAGAGAGGAAATTTTAAAGAAAATGGAGCTTGAATATTTTGAGGAATATCTTTTCGAAGTAAGACTGGGTACTTAATGTTATAACTGTATCCCCCAAAATATCCATCTGTTCTGTTCATCATAAAAATGAAGGGTGTTAACTCGCTTCAACGTCTCTACTACGCTGTCTACTACTATGTCTGCACAGCGATAACGATATTTCTTGCACAATTGTTGATTTCTGTGTGAATTACATCCGTTTGTAATTCCACGTACCATGTGATGTGTGTAAAAATAGAACATAAAACTATTACAGTCATGTTCATGGTAATGACGGTATTATTCGGAGACATCACACCCGACGTTGCCTTGAGGTGGTGAGGTGAAATTGGGTTTAACGTTGTGCTTGAGAATATTTCGCTCATATGACGACGTGCATGCGTGTGTATGTGTATGTGCGGCTGCTTGTACTAGCCAAGACTGAAGCTGGTTTTTATAGTGCTAGCCCACTGAGATACCGTGCCGCAGTGAAGCATGAATACCCCACTCAGACACATTATACTGACTCCGAGCCGACCAGTCCTTGTTGTACCCATTAATGCCGAGCGCCAGACAGGGACCAACAAGTACCATATTTAACGTCTTTTGGTATGACGCGATCGGGGATCGAACCCGCGACCTTCCGCTCTCCGGGCGGACGCTCTAACCACGACGTTGCCTTGAACCGTAATATTACACAGCATTGTTAAGGTAGGATTGTATATAGGTTGGGCCAAGTATACAATAATCTATATAACATGATGAAAACATTGTCGAATATAAGGGAAAATATGTATAAATCAGTTAAGTCATACCCACAAAAATACATACATACCTAAGTGATGTAACACGACAAATTAGCACAGACAATTATACGCTTAATTACATTAGAATATGTATATGAAATAAAATATATATCATATTGTAAAACAATTTTATATGGATGCATTATAAAAATTCATATTTTCAACACAAACTGAAGAACATACTACATCATATGTAGACTCCTTACATAAGGTACCACATGGGTACAATTTGTGAAGCCCATTTCTGGTGTCCCCCGCCGTGATGTTGCTGGAATATTGCTAAAAGCGGCGTAAAACCAAACTCAGTCAGTCAGTCAGTTACATAAGGTAAGGAAAAATGCGTAGTGATTTTATAGGTTCTTCGCGTACTATTTTAGGATACAAAGAAAAATGACGATACATTTGTCCAGTAATGTAAGTTCATAAACGGTGTAAAGGCAAATATGAACATATAGCACTCGGGCATTATTGTGAAGAATGATCACTTGAACAATAGTGTTATAGTGTAGCGTTGATGATACTGACAATCAGCTGTCAAATGTTCGGTGAAGGTTTGGCTCCCAGACCAACACTCCCGTGACGTTAATGCACGTATTGCATGTGTTTTGCCTTTCATGTGAGCTGTCCGAATAAGCAGAGGTTACCAGCTCCCCACCCACCACTAAGTCTAGGTAGCCTCCCTTGACCCTTATAAACACGATGTTCTTGATAGTTCGGGGCTCGGTCTTGTATCAACTAGGATACGGTTGATATTTCACATTGGGTAATCTTCTAATAGCTTCTTGTTGACCATTGCCTCCTCAAACCATATAAAACAGCCGTTGTTCTTTTGAGTAAGATCTAAATTTAAACAGTTGCATATTTCTAATGACATTATTACCGCGTTTAACCTTCCATTGAATGATAATGTGTGATCAAACATTAGTAGTATTGTTCTAAGCTTTGCTATCAATGTTGGCTTTGTGGTGATCACCAAATTGTTTCTGTAAGCCTTTTGATACGGCGTGGTGTGCGAGTGCGCACCCAGCCACATGAATACTAACATAGCCTGATAAGAAATGAAATACAAAATAACAGGGGGCAAAGAAATGATCCTTGGCCCATACCTTACGAACTATTAGAATCAGTTCTGTCAGTAGTTTTGATGGCAGGGGGAGATAAAGCAACACCTGTACGTATGTCCTCCTGGTGGTCTCGCGAGAGGTCACGTGGACTGACCCTTGTCGTAAAGGGGACTGGTTGTCGTTAAGTAGGTCTCATCCGTTTGTCATCTTGGTCAAAAGCAACACACTAGCGGTTATATTAAATGTATTCCTTGCGTGATGCCGACGCCCTCGGTTGTAATCGTAAACGAGGAGCAAGATATTTGAATGCTTGTCTAAGAAATAGCTAGGTTCTTTTACAAAGGACGCGTTAAGACTAAGGGAATTCCCTGTGTGCTACACGCGATATACTCTCAGATAGCACAGCTCGATGACAAGGCCATATCTGCCATCATTTGGCTCATTTGCCAGCTCCATTATCACTAATTCATAGTGTACTATTGAGTTACTCCACAAGTCCCTCATCTCGGTGTAACAAAGGATTACAAATGACATGTGACAAACGCAGCCGAACTAATTCTTTTTATCCAAGCATTTATGTGTCACTCACAGAAGCGGTGTATCAGTTTTGTTTTTATATACCAGGCTATGAATTGTCTTTGTTTTCCGAATCTTCCACATACTTACCTTGCATGACCATTGACGAGTAGAATGTTCTCTCAGTGTCCCCTGCCCAGGTAAGGAGGCCGATCCGACTCTCATTCACAGTATTGGAATCCAGTGCCTAATAAAGACACCATTGTTCTATAAAGCGTGAGACAATGACATTTGATGTTGGGCTGTTGGGCAGGGGATACAACTGGTTGTGTAACCTACCTGTTCAGGTGTAGTCAGGTGTTGGGCGGACTTCTTCAGTCGGTCCGGCACGCAATACGGAAGCAGTCAGTGTTCTGGATAGTCTTTGAAGTTTAATGGTGTCTAGATCATGTTTAAGTATTAAGTTGATAACGATCAAACACATTTATCAAAACACCCATTCCGTAAATATGATACAGACTGTGGTTTCTTTCTTGCGACCATCTTAATATTAGCATTTTTATTGTGTTTGTATTTGTCAGAATCACACTGGAAAATATTAACCAATCAAAACATGAGAAAATCTGAAACATTCTCCCCGATTGTGATAGTTTGCTCGGTGTTCGCCTTACTTTGGGCATGCTTCATATTTGAGACGAATTAAACAATATTCTTGTTAGCCATTCAGAAGTTGAAAATACAAAAGGAAATGAACCTTATTATATATAACAACTTCTAAGTTTAGTGACGACGTTTCAGGGCGTCTTTATTCCCTTTCCAAAACGTAGAAGTTGTTGTGAAGGACCTAAAGGATCCCTGACAAAGATTAAGGGAGTTGTTATCCATAAAATGTTTTGTGACTTAACACGTCTTTAATAATCTTCCTTCGAATGTTACGAATGTTTGTTTCTAATATCCACATACCGGAAACACTAATCTAGTGCAAAAACGATAATTGATTTGAATATCTTTTCTAAACAGTGCTTCAATAATATGTTTTATGATCGAGTGGGTAATGAGACACGATAATAATAGTTTTAACAGGTTATCCGTTTAAACCGCGACATAACTGAAATGATGTATGCGTTAAACTCCCGCAAGCACCTAGTGCCATACAAGCGACACGTTGTAAACATAAACTGCCGGAAAAACGGAAGTATACACGACAAACCTAAGGTTCAAACCACAAACATGATATCCGTATGGAACAACTGTTTCTTGTTTATTTAAATGCAGCCATTTTCATTTCAGACGGCAGAACACATTCAACATTCAACACATTAGAAAGTTGTAATTCTTAATCACTGTGAAATAGATGCAATTTTCTGTCAAATATAACGATGCTGGTTGTATTTTCACATACCAATAACAAAATCTTTACTTTTTAGATGACCCGTCGTCTATGGACAAGAACGGCGTGTTCCCGTCCCCTACCTGGTCAATTTGGCGTCCTATTTGCTCCACTATGATGAACTCGTCCTTCTACACAGCCAGTCGGCCGTTTTATACATTCTATGGAGGCTTTCTTGGACTTGCAAACTCGAACGCACCGTTTCCATCAGTAGCGTTCCATCCGGGTCTCACGGGCGTGAACGGGTATCCTCCTCCTGTGAGGGAGATGACCCAACCCAGTGCATCTGTGGTCCCCTCGGAACACTCACCCAGCCCTCACCATCACCTGGGCATGTACAACCGATACCACCCATACATGTCCCCTGATAAACTTAAAAGCCCTGACTCAACTATGGTGGATGGTTGTCACCCCTGATGACCTTCACATTGTGACTGCAAAGCTCCACACACCGATATGTTACACTTCCGGTCGTCATCGAAAATTCGGAGACGGCTTCAATCGGGGACATGTCTTTCATCTATAATGGCTGTTATGTGCAGAAATTGACCACAGATTATACGGGGGAAGATGTTATGAGTGTTTTGTGTTGATTTTGTTATCAGTAATATAAAAAGCCAGAAAATATACTCTGCTCACAACTGTGAACACAACGCGAGAACTGGTACCTTAGTTTATTATTGACAATTTGTTGATTATTGAAATATTTATGGAATTGACAAGTAAAATTATTAATATTTTCCTTATTCTATTTGTGAATTATTCACCTATTGATTTGAGAGAACGCAGATATAAACGATTAGTTAACGATGAGGGCGGTATGATAGCATTGTGGTCTAAGTGTTCGCTAATCGCTCGGAAGGAGCGGGTTCCACGTGGGTACGTGATATGATATAACTAGAATATTTCTGGAAGCAACGAAAACCAAACTCACTAAGCAGTTAACTATGAACACGTGATCGATGCACAAAGTAACCAGAATGCTGTGATTTCATTCCAAATCAACAAGAAAGCAAACATAGCTACGGGAAAAGACAAATGTTTATGATTGTTGTACAGTCACATATCACTTGTAAATATTTCATAAAGTTTGTAAATGTCTTCCATGTACATGCATGTATACGAGATTCTGTACCACTCTCCTCGCTGTACAAAGTGTGTTCATATCAAGAACTTGTGTTTGTATGTTATGTGATATATTTCTGAATCAGCTGTTCTGTAAATAAAGAAATTGACCATGATTCGAGTATGCTTTTATTGTATTTGTGTGTCGTATATTTGCAGGTATGAGTGAGTGAGTCTGGTTCAGTTCCCCTTTGTAGCGTTTGAATCACCGTGTATCGCCTTTTGTCAAAGTTTGTGAGTTGAATTGAACGTCACATGGGCTTTGTGTCAGCCATATGGTGATGAGAACAAGATATTGTATATATGCGCTCGGTGTCAGTGGACTGTCTGACTGAGTATGGTTTTACGCCGCTTTTAGCAATATTCCAGCAATATCACGGCGGGGGACATCAGAAATGGGCTTCACGGATTGTACCCATGTGGGAAATCGAATTCCAGCCTTCGGTGTCAGTGGAACATTTACCACTTACTTTTATGAAAATGATAATCGTGACGTCTTTCAGTGGCATTTAGAAGTTGTACATTGACCTGATGAAGGGACCTGGAATGGTCTCGAAACGTCGTGAGAGAAATTAAAAAAGAAGTTTAATCCATAAAAATATCTTGGACATCGATAATCGTGACGTGGGTTTCCAAGGGTACGTACCAAGTGTACTTTATTGCCTGTTAAAGTACTGTCGGCGCCTTGATCTTTTAGCGAAACATCTTAGAATATGGCGTTAAAGCACTCGGACGCAAGCACCCTATCGTGCTTTAACTATAATAGTTCAGGGCGAAAGTGTGCTTTATTACACTATACGTGGTGACAGGGCGAACTGTATTTCTTAAAATAACCATCACATAACCAATTCCCATCCACTGACTTAGCCATATGAAATTGAAATAAAAGAAACGAATGAGATCGCCTTATTTGTTTTACTTTTAGATCTATGAATAAAGGTTCAGTGAGAGAAAAAAACTCCACAAGGCTGTATGACAAAAGGGATAATTTGAACTTTCCGATAGACAACTTCCCTTCCATGTCGAGCAATATTCCAACAGCTCCAGCCTTTGGTGTTTACATTGAGGTACAATCGAGGATGTTCTTTTAACCAAGATATCACAGAGCTTCACGCGACTCTTGCTCAGAAGTTGTCCGACCAAGGTTACAACATTCAAGGCCTCAGTAAAGTTTTCAAATGGGTTTATGGTTGACATGTGGAGAAGATTTCAAGATCTGATGCATAAGTGATGTCCGATGCAATTCCCTATTTTGACTTGTACCATATGTTTTCAGGTGAACAATTGACAAGCCTTTGCATATGTTTATGACGTTGCCACCAGTGGGGCAGGATACTCTCACCTTTTTGAGAACATCTGGTATCATCACTATTTGATAGTGATTAATGGACACATGCTTTGTCACCGTATATCATGATGTCAATCATTTGATTGTCTGGTTCAGACTCGATTGACTAACACATTAACATACAGCTGTAATATTGTTTAGAGTGGCGTCATTATACAAACACATGCTCTAAATGTAGCAGGAATTGTACAGGCGACTCGACTTAGCAGAGACATCTTATGGATGTGAAAAGGGTCTGGGTACTTTTACACAGCTGAGACGCATGGAATTATATCATTTACTTACACTACGGAGGCTCATGGACAATGATAATTTACTTACACTACGGAGGCTCACGTAGACTGATAATTTACTTACACTACGGAGGCTCACGTAGACTGATAATTTACTTACACTACCGAGGCTCACGGAGACTGATAATTTACTTACACTACGGAGGCTCATGAACACTGAGAATTTACTTACACCACGGAGGCACATAGACACTAATAATTTACTTCTACCACGGAGGCACATACGCACTAATAATTTACTTACACAACGGAGGCACATAGACACTAATAATTTACTTACACCACGGAGGTACATAGACACTAATAATTTACTTACACCACGGAGGCTCATAGAAGCTGATACTTTACTTACACCACGGAGGCTCATAGACACTAATAATTTACTTACACCACGGAGGCTCAAAGAAGCTGATAACTTACTTACACCACGGCGCCTCATAGACACTAATAATTTACTTACACCACAGAGGCTCATAGAAGCTGATAATTTACTTACACCAGGGAGGCACATAGACACTGATAATTTACTTGAATTGTGCACACAATCTATCTACGATTTTTCAGTATGTCCTGTGAATCAGTTAGGAATACAACAACAACAACAACAACATATATTTGGCTAGAACGTCGTGGTCTATCTTGCTGATTAGAACTTGCGTTATTGTAACCAAGCAATACATTACATCGTGTTAGAATATGTTCAGTACTAAAGTACAAGCTAAAGCCAAAAGCAATGATAACGATTAATTGTAATCACTAACATGCGATGGGAAAAATCAAATCATGTACAACACTTTTGTGAAACCTGCTGTCTCACGTCTCACGTTTCCTTCACTGCGCACAGATAAACCATAAATCCGAAATTTGAATCGGCAATTCTACATGTAGAATATATTATCTAGCACTATAATAGGATGCGGCGATCGTCTTGGCGTTCATACAATTTAGTATGAACTACACCACTAGTCTTTCAGGGACGGTGGGTAGCCTGGTGGTGAAAGCGTTCGCGCATCACGCCGAAGTGAGTGAGTTTAGTTTTACGCCGCACTCAGCAATAGTCCAGTTAGATGGCGGCGGTCAGTAAATAATCGAGTCTGGACCACACAATCCAGTGATCAACATCATGAACATCGATCTGCGCAATTGGGATACGATGACAAGTGTCAACCCAGTCGGCGAGCCTGAAAATCCGATCCCGTTAGTCGCCTCTTACAACAAGCATGGGTTGCGGAAGACCCATTCTAACCCGGATCTCCACGGGTATGTGGCCAGTGTCAGCGGAGCTACAGGTATGTTATATCTCATATCTTTTGACGATACTTTCAGCGAGTCTCTGCTGCTGTATATGCGTATTATTTAATGCCCTCTCACATACTATACAGCTTAGTTAAAGAAATAGAGGATATTATATGAGTGCCCATGTCATATTATGTTTACGACACGAGTGTCGTAAACATAGTATGATATGGGCACGAAATGATATTCTGTTTATTACCGAAGCCGTCAAATTGAGGAAAATATAAATCCAAAACTACTTTCAAACATAGGCTGGCTACCTGCCGTCGCAGCATGTAGAACGCAACGTCACAGCAGAAACGTGACGTCATAGCATTGTTCATGACGTCTCGTCACCATGACAAAGTGATATTTTGCCCTATACTAGGGCATCGTATGAAAAATATGAACCCCGATATTTTCGCCCTCGTAGGTAATAATTATTAAGAAATACAGTTCGCGCTACCACCATGTATAGTGTAATAAAGCACACTTTCGCCCTGAACTATTATACTATTATAGTTAAAGTACGAGGTCGCATGCGTCCGAGTGCTTTACGCTATAATAGTTCAGGGCGAAAGTGTGTTTTATTACACTATACATGGTGGTAGAGCGAACTGTATTTCTTTTCTAAGATGCCAAATTTAATACTTTCTAAGGATAATTACGATTAATCTAAGGCAGAAAACAAACGACAGTGTCGGTGACCTAAATTAAGAATCCTCGCACATGGCTAACTGGCGCACTGTTCTACTGATGTGTCTGCCCAACCCCCCACCCCCACCCCACGTTAGACGAATGTTACCAGAAAAAACCAAATGATAACAGTTTCCTGGCGGTTTACGTTCGGATTAAATATCTTCTCTCTAAATTATTTTAATTACATCTGTGATTAATGTTAACCTAGACTAAACAATTAACGTTAACCATATGGGGCAATATGAACGTCGCATTTCAAATATCAACGTACGTTTAGATCAGTACATCCAGATGAATCTGAGTAGTCCAGCGACATTCCACGATTGCATTGTGGGAATGTAAACATTGCGAACGTTACCGTGTCGTTGAACATTTGTGAGTCGAATTAAGACATTTTAACCGTCGGAAAACATAAACGTAATGAATCCACCAGTAATGTTAGCTGCGTGAAGCAACTGCAAACCAAGAAACGGGATGCAACGGAGTAGTTTACTGTTGGAGGCTGTACCAGGCGATGACAACTGACATGCATCGTGACGTCGCTTATATTGTGACGTAATGCAAAAAGTGTTCGATTACGAGGGGGCAGGCTAGAATGGCGCAGTGACGCCAATGCATTGTGACGTAATGCAAAAAGTGCACATGATCGTCTAATAAAGTACTGTCGGCGCCTTTGATCTTTCACCGAAGCATCTTAGAATGAAGAATATTACATTTTATTATGTAAGCATATTTTTCCGGCTACCTGATTGGTCTAGAGTCGGTCACGTGACCGTCGACGGAAAAGCATATTGACTCCAACCCAGGTCCGACCAAAAGTCATATTGACTTGAGTTACTATGACGTCAAGCTGTGACGTCATTCTATTGTTTACATGTCACAGTATTGTTGACATAACGTTATTGCTTTGTAGTGAAAATAAAATTACTTTTCTTGACTAAATGGACATGTTTTGGTTTTTTAGAAGCTTTTTTCGGTAATTACATAATAAAACAATTGTGGACTGGTGAATTCGGTCAATACCTGTTTTTATGGACCTGCGAAAAGCAATATTGACCTCGGACTTCGTCCTCGGTCAATACTGCTTTTTGCGGGTCCATAAATAGAGAATACTACACGAGGTCTCATTACATACGAATTATACGAAACGAGTGTCCTTCCTGTGGTATCTGACCTAGCGAAAGCGAGGTCAGATAACATAGGAAGGTCACGAGTTTCGTATAATTCGTATGTAATGAGACCGAGTGTGGTATTTTATTTATTACCCACGTCTTACATGCATTAAACTGACAAAATAGCGTATTTTTGTTAATATTTTGGTTTCAAACCGAAACCGGTTTCATAAAGGGGTTGCGGAAGAGTTTTGTACTGTAGTACAATATTTGCATGACGTCACACCAAAATGACGTCACTGCCTTGGTAACCGACGTCACGATGCAAGTCAGCTGTCATCGCCTCGAACAGCCTCCTATAGTAAACTACTCCGTAGCACCTCGTTTCT